GTTCAATGAGTTGTTTCTCATTTCTTAAACAACCAAAGACACGTCCTGTGGTCGTGGAGAAGATGTCAGTCTGTTTGAGAAGAGTCAAATCATTGGCATCAAACAGAGAAAACATCTAAGAGATTGTAGAAACTACTAAAACTGGGTTAAGAACTGTTCAACACATTATTAAAAACTGGAAGGATATCTTCCAGGATGCTCCCATCATGTCTACTGTACAGCCTGTGGAGGCGGGGCTATGATTGGTTGCTGCAGTTGATCTGGTCTAGGAAGCTCATCCAAACAATGCTATAGTGAATGTGTGCTGTAATCAAAACTGTGAAATATTAGTGTTACTTTTTTTTGGCTAGGCAGTGTATAAATAATAAAATATCTARAATAAAATGCATTTAAAAGGTTTTAAAATGTGTTAAATTCCATTCAGAACCTCACAGTAAAACCAATAAGCATGAACTGTGTAGAAGTCTCGAAGAAGTCTGCCATAAAAGTGTACAACAGGAGGATAATTGAGGAATAAAACACCACACTTGCATTGTTTGATGCAGTATATGTACATTTTTATAAAGTTTTCTTTTAAATTTTTCCTTTTCAGATCCTCCTCAATGAGCTCGGCTTTGATGAAGGTTTCATCACTCCCCTCCGTGAGCACTATTTGCACCCAGTTACGTCCCTGCTTTACCCAGACTGCGGGGGTTGTTGTCTGGATAGTCACAAGGCCTTTGTGGTCAAATATGACATGAACGAAGACCTGGACCTAAGCTATCACTACGACAATGCAGAGGTCACCCTGAATGTTTCACTAGGCAAAGAGTTTACTGATGGCAACCTGTACTTTGGCGATATGAGACAGGTGAAACCACAGCATCATGCTTCACACTTATTCAGAATATTTAGTAATAACCTTTGTGAGTTTTGATTGAAAGTAGTGGTGTTGTTGTCTCCTGCAGGTGCCTGTGTGTGAGACAGAGTGCACGGAGGTCGAACATAAAGTCACCGAGGGGCTCCTCCACCGGGGCCAGCACATGCACGGGGCCCTGCCCATCTCCTTCGGCCAGCGCTGGAACATCATCATCTGGATGAGAGCCTCACAGGAACGCAACAAACTGTGCCCCATGTGTAACAAGAGTCCCTGTCTAGTGGAGGGAGATGGCTTTGCTGATGGCTTCACCAAACAYGAGGCACCACTGAATACGTCGTGTGCACTGGCATGACCGTTTGATGTTCATGCTTTCATATAGTTGTGTAACTGGGATTGTTGGACATTTAGGTAAATAGTTTGATTTATTTAAAAACTGTGTTTCTGTGTAAATAAAATGAGGTGATGTTAATTTTAAAGCTTGTTTGGAGAAACAGTTGAAGTCCAACAGGACTGATGAGGTAACAAATCAAGTTAAAACCAGAGTGAAATGATGTCATTTTAAAATGGCTTCTGTCTCCAGATTTTCAGGTTTTCTTGAGCAMAGTTTTATCATCCATTCATCTGGTTCACTTCTGCAGCTTATCTGTGATGGTTCACACATGCATTGAGTTCGAGAGAGAAACCCAGACATCCCTTTTCCCAGCAACACTGTTCAGCTTCTCCTGATCCAACGTTTGTTCCCGAGTCAGAGAGGATTATGTTAACATCTGCCAACCACTGCTGTACTCTTTACAGTGCCTTGTTCTTTGAGATAAATAATCTCCATCATTGGAATAACTTACCTGCCAGCTGCCATCAAACTGTATGAACAATGTAGAAATGTGTACTAAAGTGTATGCTACTAAATGTACCCCCCTACAATTTTGTATATTTTATACACTATTTTTTAATATTTGTGTATTTTAGTATTAATAGCTTGTATTGATACCTTATTGATGCTGTTGTCTGTGAACTTGTAATTTCCTGCAAAGGATCAATAAAGTATCCATCTAATCCTTCCAGTAAGTTATGAGTTCCTTGGGTTCCTTCTCAGTGRGACAGGCCCAGATCAGATGCTAGTGACGGGTCATTACATAGACCTATAGCCAGTCTGCAGCCTGGGATCAAATTTGTCCAGTGCACTGCTCTTGCCTCCCACCCAGCTTACACTGCATCCAATCCTGACTGCTCACTCCACAGGGGCAGGTGGCTTCCTGTTCTTGTTGAGCTTGGCCAGGCTGAGTCCAAGGAGCTGAGGTTCCATCACTGGGCATTTGTCAGTGAGCCCCCTGGGAAACCTTTACATTACTTCCAGGTTCACATTTAACAATGATCCATCCATCATCTACCTGCTTCTTCCTTTCAGGGTCACTGGTGCACATATCCAGCTGTCACTGTGCGAGGGGCGGGGTACACCCTGGACAGGTCACAAGTCCATCACAGGGACACACACAGACAAACAAGACAACTAGTAACTCTCACTTAGGGACAATTTAGAGTTAGAAATGACCCTACCCATCAGGTTTTTGGTCTGCGGGAGGAAGCCGGAGAAAACCCACGAATGCGGAGAGAATGTGCAAACTCACCCAGAAAGGTCCCCCAGGCCAGGGTTTGATCTGGTGACCTTGCTGAGAGGCATCAGCTCTACCAACTGARCCACCGTGCCGCCCACATTTAAGAACTACTTAAATGGAATTCTATGGCAGCATTTCACTTTAACAAATTTAAAGCAGCTAGGATTACTTGTGTCTTAGGACAACTTCAATCCTTAACATTTTCATTTCATCTTTATTTAACCAGGCAGAACATTTTRTAATGGTTCATGCAAACACTATTATTTAAACTTAGACGTTACACACATTTCACATTAAATTGTTATTTGGCAGAATTTTTAAAACGTTCTTGCTGAATTTCACACAAATCACTGCTGGTGCTATTGTCACTTTCAAATAGCCATAGAATTATAGGGAGAATCATATAAAACATAATAGTGTGAAAATTTATAAAATGGTGTTCATTGTGCTACCCACTATGAAACATTTCAGACTGRCATTTTAATCAGTTTATTATGGTCTTACATAGGTGACAAGCTTGTTAGTCCTGTTTGGCATAAAGCATTTTACCAAACAAACCATTCAAGAAACAATTTACATTTGGTAAGATAATATAAATAATACATTTTACCCACTTCAAAATGATCAAACTATTTTTTTTTAGTGTCTTGAGTTTTGACRGTGCCCTGTTCAATCAAATATCCAAATTAAATTTGCTCCATTGCTCTAGCACCTTAAAGTCCTCCTTCTTCTCCACATAAATGTTACATCATTTCCTTCAGCTCAGCTGTATTTTCTAAGCAACACATTTTACTGAAGAGTTAATAAATCCCTTAGTCATAGTTCAGAATAATAGAAGTTTAATTGAAAAGATCATGTCATCTCRTGTACAGCTCTGTGTGGCATTCAGTTTTACAGTAAGCATGTGGTGTATTTCAGTTTAAGCATGTTCTTAGTTAAAAGAACAAACCTGTTACTTTCAACTTTTTTTAAGTGAGGTTTCAGAAACATCAAAATGTTGGTGCCTTTTGGTTGTTTCTTTTTGCTCTTTGTAAATTTGGGAGCCAAAAACTGAGCTGGCTCTGTGGGATCAGATAGACACAGCAGACACACCTAAGAAATATATTCAAACAGAAAGAAAATATTTGTACAATTGTCTTTTCAACCTCACAGAAAACAGACTGAGCGTCAATCTTTTCACATTTTCAAAATGTTTTATGTACATACAGGCTTCTGTGAAGTGACTGAGTTTTGGTATAGTGTAAATACAAGAGTACATTGTCTAGTAGTACTGGTTACATTTTTCACAACAAATATATTACCTTAAAGAGACAAATGTTTTCTCTTTTCAGGGTCTTTAACATCATACAAATGTACATCAATGAATTCAGCTTAATATTCTGGACACCTAACTATACAAGTTTCAAAGCAAATACTTCAAAACATTGAATTCTTAACTGCAGTGAAGCCAGATGTGAGTTTGATCATGTGTCAGGATGAACCAGATACCAGTCGATGACACGTTTCCTGCCTGGGTCAGCACGAGCTACATTCAGTATTCAAGTTGGACACAGTTCAGTCCATAAGGTAGAACATCCTCATAATGTGGTCTCACTGCTCATGTCCCGGGCCCGGTGGCGGTCCATGTCTGAGTCGTAGTCTGACTCCATCTCAATCTTGACTTGGGGCACAGGGCAGGTCATCCCTCTGCCCATGGGCATGGCTGGAGATGATGGGCAGGAGATCTTCAAGTGGAGAGTGATGCTGAAGAAGGGCAAGTTTGAGTTACCACACACACACACACAGAGCCAAAAACACCAACCAAGGAGCAGGAGGGGCAGAGGCGCTCAACCATGAGTCCAACCAAAACCTACATGGCAGCTCAGGTTTGTGACAGACTAATTCATGAAACTGCTGTAGGGACTCTGTCCCAGTGAAGAGTGAGATGAGGCCAAACTTGAAAAATGTTTTGCAAAAATTGATTTCTATTTTTTTTAAGTTTGGAATGAAATAGTTTATTTTCTGATGCATGTATTTTGACTTTATACTAATTCTTACATTTAATGAAACATCTCACTTTTCTATCTACTAGTTTCTTGTATTTTGAATATTAAATTTGTTATAACCATCTAGTTTCACAAAATACACATGTATAAAGATACCATGASTAAATACAGGCATTATTTGTGTCATTAACATTAAGGAACTCATTTTCTGTCAGAGAAAAACCTTATTGAAAAATCAGTCCACCCTCTTTTAGTGTCAGGGTTTCACATAGCAGGATATAAATAAAATAATTTAGTCTTTACCAGGTTATTCATTTATTGAAATCTAATCAAAGCTGAAATGTAAAAGCTGTGTGAAAAACTGGAATAACAGGTTCAGCATCAGCAATGAGCTGCTGGTCAAATGTATCAATTAGACCAAAGGATGCTGGAGTCAAGGAAAAAACATCAGTCTGACAGCTGAAGTTTGGAMCAAAACTGGATTATGAAACAGGATGATGCTCTCACACAGCAGCTAATCTAAAAGCCAAGAAAGAAAGAATCATGGCGCTGCAGGATTCAAGTTGGTTGAAATGGAGTCTAGACGAAAGTTCAACTCTGGAAGACTGATCTACCTCACCTGCTTTCATCCAGCCGCCGCATCACAAGCCCAGCCGTATCCAATCAGCATCTGACAGTCAGTGGATGAAAGGGTCCTCCTACCCCTACCCCTCCTCCACCCTCCATCTTCCAGCTCCCACGGGTGGAACAACTCCTACCCTTCATCCTAAACACCTCATCTGAGTTTACAGCAACTCAAGGAACTCACCTCCTCTGCCGGGGTCAGAGCGCCAAACTCTAATTTCATTCATGGCGATAAACCTGCTGATTCAGTCTGTCTCCATGTGAGTCTTTCCAGGCTGAAATGCTCTTGTGCTACTCAAAGAGAGCTGTGAAACCAGCAAGCCTCAATGAACGAAACAATGTTGTAAAGAAGAGTGGGCCAAAAACATCCACAATCATGTCAGAAACTGATAAGGCCAAACAGAAAACAACTAAAAGGGTTGTACAATATACTGGTTTTCTTTTTGTTTAATAAATAATGTCATGATGGAAATTACTGTGTTTTTGCATAGTTGAGTTTAGATTCAATCATGTTAGAACCTGGTAAAGACAAACTTACTTTTTAATTATGTGGTCATACATAAAACGGTTGAACTGAAAAAGTGTGGACTTTCTTCTACACTGCTGAAACCCAACCATGCCTTTTTCAAAGCAATGCAGACATGAAGGGAAATAATCCAGGTCAGAATATTCCACAATAAACATTTTAGGCTGACTGAAATTCACATGTAAGGTGTGACTGATGTGCTAAACAGAAACAGTGCATGAAGAAAAAAGAAACAACCAAAATGATGTTCACTACACATGAACAAGCTGTCTATGATCAATCATTTCAATGCACAAGATAAACACAAAACTATAATTAACAGCATATTATTATATTCATCCTCTAAAACATTACATTCAGTTTCACAAATACTACAGATTAAAGGCTTTCAGACACAGCTTTTAATTTTCTCATTCCTCGCCTTGCAGTAAAGACCCTTTCAGAAAGCTTTAGACAAATACACATGTAACACTGCAGCCTGCAAGGCTGTGTGTTCAGTGCAGTGCAAGACGGTCAAACATTCTAATCACAATACAATCATCTGCATTGCCTTATAAAATGCATGGAGAGGAGGATGAGGTCAAACATGACAGTCAGAATACGTTAACTATATGGAAAATGTCATGTGGAAGTYGTCCATTTAAAATTGAAAAAGCAAATGTGCACAAATAAAGAGAACRTCTGTCATGCACATTTAATACATGTAAAGATGAACAAAGAAGAGGATAAGACTTGAAGCAATTCAGGGCATTCTGTTTGAGGTAAACTTTAAATTAATCTGAGAAAATGCAACAAAAGGGTCATTTCACATAAATAACAAAAACATACAATATCACTATTTAACTGAGCAGAAMGCTTCACTTTCTAGTCGCATTTTAGTAAGTTCAGTAGGTAGATTTCTGTCTTAGAGTGGCAATACAACCCCAGGCAAAAAGTATGGAATCACCAGTCTTGGATGAGCACTCATTCAGACATTTCATTCTGTAAAACAAACTCAGATCAAAAA